ATATTTTAACCTCTCTGGAAAGATACCCTGCTGAAAAGAACGGTTTATTACATGACAGAGTGGTTTTGATAAATCTGTTGCACACATTTTTAAAATATTTGTATTTATTTCGTCATAACCTACAGCATTTGTATTCCTTAGGCTGTTTATAATTTTATATCATCTGCATTTACTGGAGTTAAAAACATAGTGTTTATATTTTGTGGTGTCTTTATTTTTGAGTTACATTTATCTTTAGTTAACCTAAGAAAATAATCATTAAAACATTCTGCTATGTATTTTGAGTGTGTATATATTCCTGTATCAGTACTAATTTTATTTATTAAGTTTGTAGCATTGTCATTGAAACTAAAATTATTTTTTATTACATTCCACGCTGCTTTAGATATGTTTTTACAGTTTGAGATATAACGCATATTTATTAATTGTTGTGATTTAGTAATACATTTTTTTAAAACCTTGTTATATTCTACGTATTTTTTTTAAATTCTGTTTTTTGTTGCTTTTGTCATATTGATATTTTAAATACAGTCGTCGTTTATTTAAGCAAGCTCGTTTTAAACCTTTAGTTAGCCATTTTGTCTTCACAGGTTTATTATTTATTTTAACTGTCAATAGAGGAAAGCATAAGTTATAAAACATGGTGATTAAGTCATGGAGTTTGTTAAATGCAATATTTGCATCACTTTCTTCAAATACTTCATTGAAAGTCAGTGACGAAATACAGTGTTTGAATTTCTTAATGTTCTCCTTGTTGTAGTCTCTTTTTTTTTCAAACCATGTAAGTGGCTTTTTGTATATTCTTTTGCACGGTTTAATAGTACATGTAACAGTTTGTCCTGTCTCGTGGTCAGACAGTGCTAATAGATGTATTTCTGATTTAATATCTTCTGCATTACTAGTTATCAAATCGATACAAGCCCTTTTACGTGTAGGCTTATTTATGTGATTTCTAAAGTTATAATTTGTCAGAATTGATGTTAGTTCATTTTTATTCTTATTTTCCTTAAATAAGTCGATATTCCAGTCGCCACAAATAATAACTTTTTTATTCTTTTGCGACGTATATTTGTTTAATATTTTAGTAAACTGCTCAAAAAATATTCGTATATTTGAAGTAGGGGTTCTATATATACATATAATTGTCAAATTAAAATTTGATAATTCTATTCCACAACATTCGAAGGCGTATATACTTGAAAATTCATTTAAATTTAGTGTTTTGTATTCTAAGTTAGATTTGATTAAAATACAAGTACCGCTCCTTTTTTCTTGTTGTCTACAGTAATGGGCAGCTATATTATAGTTTTTAACTTTTAAGTTATTTATAGAACCCTCTTTTATGAATGTTTCGCTTATACAGATAACATCTATTTTGTTTATTTTTGAATTTAGTTCGTCTATAGCCGATTGAAATATATCTATTTTATTCAAAATACCTCCCATATTTTGATGAAAAATTGTAACTTTATACACTTTTTCCACGAAGAAATGATTGTTCTATTTTTGCTATTTTATTTTTATTTTTTATTAAATTAAAATAGTATGGTATTGTCCCTTTTTTATAGGTGTTCATATTTTTGTCTTGCATTTTTTTATCTGTCAATGAAGGTTTGTATAATCTAGTCAAGTATTTATTTTGATAGTCATTCATGTCAATTTCATAATTAATATACTTGCAAAATTTACTTCGCATCACATGTCGATTTAAGTTATTATCTTTGTAATAAATATATTTGCAATTTGTGTAATTAAGTGTTAATGTTTTAATATGATAATTTAGTAAATTAACATTTAAATGTGTGCTTTTGAGAACCTGTAGAATAAACACTGTCGTATGTCTCATATTATTTAATTTTAGCGTTAAATTGTTAAGTAGTTGCATAGGGTTCTGATCATTTGACCCTACAGAAAGAATGACTCTGTCGTTATTATTCAATCCCGATACCAAATTGGAACAAATATTCAGTATATCAGAGCTTTGTGCATTAGGTTTTACAAATCCCTCTATTTTATAATCATTATTCCATTTATACCGACGGTTACCACTTTCCATCAGGTGGGCCGTCAGCTTGTTTGCCATTCTAAGTTGCATAAAAAAAGATTTGGCGGGAAGGCTGACATTTGCAGTAAGACTTTGGTGATATTTTAAGAGAAACGTTCTGCTCATGCATCGACAATTAAATTCACTTAGTCGCCTCTTACGACACCGACGGGTAAGAAAGGTGCTCCATTCTATGCTGGGACCATACGACAATTAATTTATTGATATAATAAAATAACAATAAATACACTCACCAAGATTGCCTCTTTGAATTTCTCCAGCTACGAACGCGGGGGCGGGCGCCCGTATATTCAAAGAGTCGTGTATTTTTGCTAGTGACGTCATGCGCGCGCCTCGACCTCCGCATGTGTGTGTATGCGGCCTCTAAATGAGCGGAATGGGATCGTTTCTGTTCTGGAACTAACCTTTATAAATGAGTGAAATGGTAGCTCAGGAAAGCACTGTACGCTAGCTATTTATTACCATAATGTTTGTAGTGGTCCAGTACTGAGACAGATTGAATATGACTTGTCGATTCATCTAGAAAGATTGTTTATTATATATTTATAGTTACTTTTATGCATAGGGTTTTTTTTTATGGGTGAAAATGGAATGGTAACTCCACCTGCGCTAACGGGATACGCTGGCGGAGCACCAGTGAAGGGTGATAGATGAGAATGAAAACAGGCCAGTTAGCCCATCATGATGAATTCATCGGGAATTAACCATGACAGTTTCCAGGGGGAACCGAGAGGAGGCCGATCTGGTTGAGCATATTGCTAGCAATGGGATTCTCAGTCTTCATTACTAACAATCCCTTTCCCCCCAATATGCATAGGGTTAATCATGCATATACCATAGTCAACACTTCTTTAATAAAATTTATGAGTAGTTTTTGAGTATCGGTAAAGATTCCTAAATGGCATAGGACTATAAGTACATATCTACCAATAAGTGATATCTGTCCGTTAATATTCTTTTGAGTAAATAGAGGAAAATATCTCAAAGGAACAGACAATGAAAAATAATGTATAAAAATATATTAATTTTTATTTTGAGCTATTAGGAAAACTATTTTTATTTGGGCTGATCTAATATGCTTGGCACAATATGATTATTTTTTTATTTATTTACTCTTTATTGCATCACTTAAAAAATAATGAACAAAAATATATATTACACATTTAAAGTACAAAAAGGCGGTCTTAATGCTAAAGCAACCTACCAGACAACCTTTGGGTAGAGGAGAAAAGAAAAAGACGATAGCTTATTTACGTCGAATATTATTTCACCTCACTAGTAAAAGTCGACAAATAGCTCATTTATTTTCACTAGCTATGTCTCATGGCTTCGCCGTACAAAATAGTACATAAAATATCTTGTACCATCCATCCATCTTTACAACTCGAATGCGTTGAGAATATTAATAGCATAGGATTGTATTTGTTTGTATTTGAATGGTATTGGAAACAGTAAAGGTACCCCTTCTAAATAACCCAATATGGACATAGCAATCGTCCTTTGTTTCTGTAGTACACTAGCTGATCAAGCAAACGTTTTTCCGCCATTTATATTTTTTTATCTGGATCACAATCACAAATACTGTGACATGATATTTTTATATACAAAATATTATGACTATACGAACCTCGCATTTGGTGGCCACACATCTCCAGTACGGAACCAAGGTCCGACCGGCTCCCGCCACACTGTATCGTGCCAACACGCCGCCATGAATTAATTTCACTTATTATGAATTTGTTTCAGCTGTCTCTGTGTATACCTACACTGTTGAATACCTTGTCATTATAGCTCTATAAATTTTTTCATGTGCCCAATTATTTATATTTCAGTATTTTTTTTTTTAACATTTGTAAACAATAACAAAACAATAAATAGAATTGTCAATGACGTTCGAAGTATTGGTGTAATAAAAACAAGAAGATAAGTATGCGGATTTATTTAACCTGTGGTTTCCTATGGCTCCTAGTACAAAGATTTAAATTTATTCTAATTCTAATGTTCTAATTATCATTGTGTATAAATGTTCTGTACAATCATATTGAGACAATAATTTATTAGCTTTTTTTTTTAATTGTAACACAACATGTGATTATTCTACGCTGAGTTTTTCCAATAAAACTCAGCGAAAATGCAAACAAATTAATAATTGACATAACAAAAAAAAATTACCGACTTATGTTCAATAATAACAGAAATCAAAAATATTGATTAATGTTTTGTTATATTTTCATTTAGCAACTTAATAATGTCAACAATTAATGGTTATTTATGTAAATTGTATTTTGGTTTTATTTTTAAATGTTATTTTCAATTATTTTAAATGAGACACGTATGTTAATGTAACATTTTTTGTGTTGTCGTTTTAAAATCCGTCTAAAATGGACAGGCAAAGAGCACGGGCCATACAGCCTTATCATAAGATATTACCAGTTCATGTAAAGGGAGAAAAATATTTCATAAGTATTTTATATTAATCTTAATAGGAGTTATAACTACGAAGCATCAGAATTTTTCATGAATACATTTCTTATTATTTTTAATTTTCTTATTTTAAAAAAGTACGATTGATGCCATGAAGGTTCATTTTTAAGATACCTTTTTATATACTTCATTATCTAAGGTTGAAACAAACTATAACACCTACCTTAGACAACATAACCGCAAAATCGACAAATAGCAAGTTTATTTTTAGTATCGAGCCCCAATCATAGACTGCTCACCGCAAAACAAAAACATCTGTTTTGAAACCTAATGCACAACTAAGCAAAATCATAATATCACTACCCGTCAAGATTCCTGCACAGCCCACGTGAAGTTTCTTCCTAATATTTATCAACCAAAATAGATTTTTACGTGGGCCGGCGCCATCTACACGATGCGGCGATATCAAATATGCGAGTCTAGCGACAATTCTTGAAAAAATTAAACACGATAACTTTTTAAACTTGTTTATTAGTATTAAACAGCAATTATAAGTGATAAGTTTTTTTTTTGTCATCATTTTACAAACGAGGCCCATAAAATCAAAGACAGCTAAATCCAACTCTATCAATGTTCAAAAACCACCACTAATATTTTGTCAAGGATATGGAACAATATTCTATATTTTAAATCAGATTACAGGAAATTAGAATATTAGTAATAATTTGAATTTTAATTAAGTGAAATATTTGAATACAGAATGAAAATGAAATAGATTTTATGGCATTTAGCTACCTTTTATTTTATAGGCCTCAAATGTACAGTCATAATTTACAAAATGTCGAAAATATTCACTTTCACATTACAATTATCGGAACCTAAAACTTACAATCACTGTTATAAAGATCACTATGTATTTACATAACAGTACAAAATATTTACAACTTATTTTTTAATATTAAATACAATCTCACAGACATTAATAGAACAAAGTGTGTCTCAAGCATTCCAAGTACCCCTACTAGAACGCAGAAGTCACTACCCACTCAGTCAAATTTGGCTAATTCACGCACACAGTCCTACAAGCGAAATGTTACATTGGAATCAATGAGGGTAACATCTCCAACATAATTAGGCAACATGAGTAAATAAGATCCTACAAACTCCAGGAATGTCTCATTAAGATTTGAGCATAGACAATTATACTCTAACACCTGGTTGTCTACAGTCAGCCAAATGCATGCTGAAGGCCTACTCAGCATGTGGCCGAGCACAGATTATTAGATACTTAAATTATTTATAAGGATGTTAAAATATCACTGTATACACATCTCTTAATAAGATATTCGGCAGTCTTGTTGCTACATTAATTGGGTAGAGTATCTGTTAATATTTCTTTTACACCAGAACTGATGCGGTCGGGGAATTTGATATCGAACGCAACCAACAGGTCACCTTTCCTCGTCGGCTCCTTGGGGAACGGCAGCCCATACCCTGGGAATCTCTTCACAGTGTGTGGTTTGACTACTTCTCCTTGCAGGTTCACTGTTAGTTTATCTCCAGACATGGTAGGAACTTCGATTATTGTACCACATAACGCCTGGAACAAAACACAAGTAGGTTACGATGTTTGTATGGAAAAATATATGAGTCATATGTTGACAGTCAACTGATCAATTAACACTATTGTATGTTAATCAATTTGACAACAATGCATTTGATTTTTTGAGAAAGTATATTTTTTTTGTGTTTATACTGATCAGAAATATTAATAAGTCATACAATAATAAAATAATATAAAATGATAAAAAAAAAATTAAGCATCAAACATACCTGTTTGAGTGAGATTTTTGCAGTATATCTAATGTCACTGCCTTCCCTCTTGAAGAGTGGGTGTGGCTTATCTCTGATGATGAAAACAATGTCAGCTGGTATCTTATTCCTGCCTTGGTCACCTTCTTTCTGGAACGTGATCTTTGTGCCAGCTTTCCATCCAGGTTTCACATGAATGGTGAGTACCTTATCCTCTTTCTTGGATGTACCGTCAGGTTGTATAACGCGGCGCGAGATCTTCATTTTCTTTACACATCCGCGGGCGATATCCTCCAGAGACACATAGAGATCGTGCTCAATGGGCGGATCCTGAGTCTTCTCTTTCCTACTTGGCGAGCCGTGGAAGTTGAAACTGTGACTGCGGAAGGCACCACCGGGTCCACCAGGCCGCGTCTGCCCCATTCCCATGTTGGCAAACGGATCCATATCGACGTCCATGTCACGGTCAAAGAACATGGTGGTGCCCCCACCGCCGCTGCCGTTCAGATCGAAAAAGGCCTGGAAGGGGCTCGCTGAACCGAAGAACTGTGCAAACGTCGCCCTCGGATCTCCATGGAAGGTATACGAGAATGATTGACCGCCACCAGGTCCGTTCTGGTTGCCCATTCCGCCCTTCAACCCTTCCTCGCCGTGCGCATCGTAAATTTCCCTCTTCTTCTTATCAGACAATACTTCGTAAGCCTCTGCCACTTCCTTGAACCTCTCTTCTGCGCCAGCAGATTTGTTCTTGTCCGGATGGTATTTCAATGCCAACTTGCGGTATGCCTTTTTGATCTCATCGTCTGTAGCACCTTTTGTAAGTCCTAATATTTTATAGTAATTTTTCCCCATTGTGAAAACTTATCCTGTAACAAAAACCGTATTGTATGAGTTCATGATTGACACCTTTTTAGGAAATGGACGATGATCCGATTCAACAGACGAAAGGGTTTTTTGGCAAAGATATAAATATTTATAAAGATAAAATTATAAAATTTCTTTATACTTACAACTAACTATGATCTGAAGAATACAGTAGAACAATCCAATGGTAAAATTAAGAAAATTATGCTTAACTCTAAAATTCACAACACGACACTTCACTATAGCAATTTCAATAATTGAATGAAACGCAGCGCTGTTGTCGCGCCAAAATATATACAATAAAACGTCTAGAACATTCTGGGACCTTCACACGATACAAGAGAGAGAGAAAATATAAGCTTTAATACGGACAATTTACTAGTTAGAAAGGGATAAATATAAATTTGATTGTTCAAACATTCCAGAAAGCGATACGCGTTACTCACGTCATCAATAGCAGTTTGTTCTCATTGCTTGAATTTTTATATCTACGTGAATATATGTTCTCTTTAAACATTTATGAAAAACTGCAATAATTATTATGCCATTGGACAAACTTCGAAGCGAGCTGGTTATCGAAGAAAATACGAGTACATTTTTTAAATTATTCAGAAATTTTAGAAAAATATGACACTTTATAAATTTTCTTACATAAATCTTACATTTTTTTTCTATTTTGAAATCTTAGATTTTTTTATATATATATATTAAATTAATTGCAGAAAAGATCCTTTATACGTTTTATTGAAATTAGATTTTTTATTTTAAAAGTAACATGTGTAAAAGTAATTTATATATATGAAGTCGAGTCTAGGAATTCTGGGCGTTGATATATCTTGCGACGTCCAGTTTTGCGGTCATCTGGAGGAGAAGGCTAAGATAGCTTCCAAAAAGTTAGGAGTACTCAATAGGGTGAGACGATATTTCATGCCAGAACACCGCCTGAAATTATATAAAGCCCAAGTCAGGCCGCATATGGAATACTGTTCTCACCTGTGGGCAGGAGCGCCACAGTACCAACTCCTTCCGTTAGACCGCATTCAAAGTCGGGCGGCTCGAATTATCGATAGTCAACGCCTTACTGTCCGACTCGACCCACTGAAACTGCGCAGAGATGTTGCATCTCTGTGCATCTTCTACCGAATTTATCATGGGGAGTGTTCTGAGGAATTGTTCGGATTGATACCTGCTGCTGATTTTCACCACCGTACAACCCGCCACAAACTAAAGTTTCATCCCAATCATCTGGACGAGTGGCGGTCTTCCACCGTGCGTTTTTCAAGGCACTTTCTTCCACGCACAACCATTCTTTGGAATCAACTTCCAGCAACAGTATTTCCGAACCGATACGACAACATAACCTTCAAGAAAAGAGTATATTCCTTTTTAAAAGGCCGGCAGCACACCTGCAATGCCGCTGGTGTTGTGGGTGATCATGGGCGGCGGTAGTCACTTACCATCAGGTGAGCCGCATGCTCGTTTGCCCCCTGTGTTGTAAAAAAAAAAAAAAAAACTTCAAAAAAATTTTTTGTTAGTAACCACAGACATATAATAATAAAGCAAAGAAAGCATAATTTAAAATATATATTTAATAATACTCCATTATTGTTAAGCACACCAATTCGCCATATTGATAAGCTGTATAAGCTGCATCTTCAAATATATATTACAATGTATATTGTATGTATACCGAAAAATTTACGATTTTCACTATCACTTGAGTAAAAAAAGGACGTGAAAATGCAGTGAGTACCTTTTTATGACATAGTGACATTTCGACAGTTTTATCATCATATTAGTTCCTAGTAACTGTCCACTACTGAACATAAACCTCCCCCATAAAGTTACAAGGAACGGTCCCGAGCCACCACTAACATCCACTAACTTCTTTCAATGCATTTAACAACTTACGTAAAGACTATTTTGGCAAAGATAAAAGATTCTAACTCCTATTATTCAATAGGTTACATGATAAACAAGTTTATATTAAAAAAATCACTGCTATCAATTTTGCCAACATATTATTATATACAATGATGAAAACTATAATAGAATGTAATTTAAGAAAATTACCTACATTGTTATTAATGTTTATGATTAGTGCAACATTGTCGAAGTGTTTAATCTTGCTTTGTATGCTAGCAACACTAAAGAGTGTATGTGTGACAGATCAATGTCACTGTGATATCAGATTCACGTCACTTTAAACATAAAATCTTTGTATCTAATCTATGCAAGAAGTAGCTAGGAAATTGTACATAATTCTGTTACAAGGTAGGTAGGTCTTTTATGTATACCAATTGATAATAATATTTTAGAAAAATATTATTAATAAAAAACTATTTATGATATTATGATAAATAGTTTTTCTATATTATAATTATTAATTCTTTTTTTATTGATAGTTTGAATTTGATTTAAAGTGGATGCATAGGGTATTTTCCGAATTACGTTATTAAAAGGATTGTGCCACCTCTTAAAGTTCCCTCTTCCGATTGCAGCGTTGCCAGAATGGTTATTTTTCCGCAATTTTGAGTAAAGGCTTTTATAATCGAGTAATTTTGGAGAAATAAAATTTTTAGGGAAAAGTGAAATGGGCTTGGACAAATTTGGCAAATTTTTTTAAAAAATTTTAAGTAGTAGTTTTAATAGTAAAATCTATAAAAATATATAAGATACATAATTACAGTAAAATATATGACTGAAGCTACATAACGGAAAGAGGACAGGGAAAAGTAGAAACAGAAGGAATGACTTTTTTGTCGTTTATTTTATGGCATATGGCAAAACTTTGTTATAGGGTAAAATCCTGAAAATGTTATAAATTTGGAGAAAATAATTTGACTTTTAGGTAAAAATTAAAATTTGCATTCAGTAACCCAGCCCGGTTGTCTACTCTCTGTTTAAAAAAAAAGTCTACTCTCTGCTCTTGGTGTGGTTATTTATTTACATGTCAGCGATGTGTATATTAGTTATATACATATACTAAAAGTATAGAATCTTATTTTATTTATCGTCTACAGTAGCAAAGGACTAAATATCAAGAGTACTGTCTACGTATTCGTTATGTTTCTGCGTATATCTCACTAATTTCAATGAAAGTTCAAGTTTGCTCGTGTTATTTTAATACGCTTATAGTTTGTGGGCGTGTTACTTCTTTCGAAATTTAGTGCAAGAAAAGAAAAGTTTCTAAAAAAATTACTACAAATGAATATCTTTATTATTAGGTAAATAAAACGAATTTTTCACTTTCATAACACTTTATCTAATGAGTCTTAGAAACAAGGCGTGTCGACATCCCTTGTAGTCTATATCGTAGTATTTCTCGTAGAAGTCTTGTATGAGCTCCTCGACCTGCGGACAAGTAAATATGTCTGGTGATTTGCTGCAAACAAAGTGCGATGTGTGTGCCGAAGTGGCGCACGAACCGTATATAGAGTGTGGGGAATGTGAAACTAATCTGTGTACTAAGTGCTTCGCATCCGGCAAAGAAGTTGGGCCACACAAAAATGACCACAAGTACGCCGTGCGCAAAAATGATATTCCTTTATTTGAGAACTGTAACTGGTCAGCGAAGGAAGAATGCAAACTGCTCTCCGCATTATCTACATATGGATATGGAAATTGGGAGGACATATCCAAAAGTGTGCACACACGGTCAAAGCTAGAATGCCAGGAGCACTACAAAAAGTATTATATAGAGAATGTTCAGTACAAAGAGTTGAAACTTTTACCAGAGACCGAGCAGTCTCTATTCCCTAAACCCGTAATTCCATATCTGTACAGCTCTGAAATAAGTACCAATCCCCCAAGGAATAATCAGTCAGATCCACATTTGGCTGGTTACAATGCGTACAGATCCGAATTCGAGTTGAGTTACGATAATTATGCTGAAAGTTTGTTTAATATAGAAGATGATTATTCTGATGATGAGGATGAAATTATGGGTTCATTGAAAATAGCATTGGCTAATGCTTTAAACACAAGACTTAGAGAACGTAAGAGAAGGTACAAGATAATACAAAATCATGGACTTATAATGCCAAATAAATTGGTTTCGTGGTTGCAAAAGTATAATCCGACTTTAGGTAGGCACAAGTGTGAGAGGTTAACATCTTTCATGCAGTTCATGACAGGGATGCAATTTGATGCATTCATGGAGTCGTTGAGTTTAGAATATGAGTTATTGCAGAAGTTAACAAGATTAGGGGAAGCTAGAAAGATAGGGATCAGAACTTTGTACAGTGCAAAGCTTTATAAACAACTGAAACTTGAGAATGATTTGTTATTAAAGGAACAAAAGTATGTAACATCTGTTATGGCGAAGAAGTTTGATCGTCAGTCGCCATTAAAGAACAAAATATTTGAAAGAGAAAACCAATTACAAAAGATAAAAAGACCAATGTTGCCATTGGAAATAATGGATCTGCCTGGATTCCACATCTTGACAGATTCTGAGAAAATATTGTGTTCAAATTTGAGGCTTATACCTAAAAATTATTTAGAGATCAAATACCAACTTGTAGCCGAGAACGGTAAGAAGGGATTCTTACGTTTAATGGATGCTAGACGGATAGTTAAGATCGATGTGAATAAAACAAGAAAAATATATGACTATCTTGTTACCGAAGGTTATATTGTTAATCAGTTAAAATAAATATTTTGTTTACAATAAATTTGCATTATTGTCCCTTAAATCATAAAAAGTAGTAAATACTCACTTTGAATCCAAATTTTTGATACAAAAATATGGCTGGATTAGTTGGCGACACATGTAGAGTAACGTCCTTGCCTGAGCATGTCTAGAAGAAAAAAAACATACATAGGTTAATAAATTAAAAAAAAAAGTCAATTGGCCAGCACAGTAATAGACTTTTTTTTTATACAACTTAGAATGGCAAATAAGCTGATGGCCCACCTGATGAAAAGTGGTAACCGTTACCTATGGACATGAGCAGTACTATGGACATAATAGAGTATACTGTTTCACCCATGATAGCCCCTATGCGTTGCCATTCCTGAGGACTCAGGTGTTATTCCTCTGTACCCAGTAAATTATATCACCATATCCCACCCTTCAAACGGACACACAGCCATGCAAACACAACTGCTTCACGGTTGAAACACGAATGGGACAGAGGTACCCAAGCAATCGACTTTTGTACAAAGTCTCCCTCTGGTATCTACTCTGGGTCTCATACCGCCCCCCTATAGGCCTGCAGCGCCCACAAGGGGGCGTTATCGGACTTTGGGAAAGGATGCTCTAGTGTATCTTACTTGTAATAAATGGTAGAGCATAAAGGAAGCAATCTTGGCGTTCCTCCATTCGGGCCTGGTGAGCACGAAAGAGATGTAGGCCTCATTGGGGCCCACATCGGGCACCAGGAACGCGCAGCCCACCACCAACTGCCGGTACGTCACCACGCAGCTGAACTCGGGGTACTGGAGGGATTCTGTCACTGGTAACATAAATACTGGTCAAGTGTGAGCCTGTCTCAAGCACCTAAGATAACCTGTAGTTTCTTACATTCAACATGAAATGAGAAGCTCACAACCCACCTAATGAAAACTGGTATCTGTTGCCAACAGACATGATTAGCATCATGGATTATATCATTGTATCTAAGAACAAGGAATTCCATAGAAGAAATGATATAATAAAAACTGTAAATTATATGGTTGCCTCCTTTCTTCTTATGCAAATATAATTAGTAAAAAGAGGACAAAAGGTACACCCTCAGTTGCTATTTTCCTCAATTCATAGCAGGCTAGTGTATAGAAAATGTTTGATATGTTAAATTATTGACAATAACAAATTTTACCCTACTAGATTATATATTCGACACAGTTTATGTAGAAAGTATGCGAGCACGTTGTATCTGCATTTGGTAGGGTTATACGGCCGTATAACATTTTCTATACACTAGCCTGCTATGAATTGACAATTTTACCACTCCTATGTAATTCCTTGTTCTTAGCATGGAATATACTATGATGTATATTCCTCTAGTTTTTTACGACAAATCGTTTACTGTGCAAGCTCTACAACAAGGGAATGGTCTACCAGCTTCTCTATACGAAATATACAACGTTTGCCAAATTTTAAAACAAAATTTAAGGACTTTTATTTGAGCAAGCTGTCAACATCGTAATTTGTTTGTCTAGTTAGCATACGTATTTCTTTATATATCTAACAATTTTATAATTGCATGTTTTAGGAATATATATGTATATATATTTAATAGACAGTAGGGATAAAATACATATATATTATTGCATATATTTCACCTCTATATGTATTTAAAATAACAAAATTTTCGTCGTGCCTCCATTGTAAAAAAAATATAAGTGAACATGGCTGTATGTACTTACAGTCTATGCCTGGCCAGAAGAACTGCGCGCATAGATTATTGACAGCTGCGATGTGCTGTGGGCGGACGTACGAGTAGTCTATGGTGGCTCGCGGGGGTGGCCTGTAGTTTTCCACGTGCCTGCATTTTAAATGTTTTATTATCTTGAGAAGCTCGGAATCCAGTACACTGAATAAAACTATCGACGTCGAATGACGTGATCCCTTATTGAAGAGTGGCTCCTGACGCTCTATAGCTTGCATCATATTGGTCTAAGACTGGGAAGGGGGAATGGAATTGTTAATATGGGGTGTAACACCCCCATTGCTAGCAATATATCCTATTAGGAGGTCCTCCACGCGGTTCCCCTGGAAACCATTGTGACTTAATTCTTTTGGTATTCGTCACGATGGGCCAACTGATTTGACTTCATCTTCACTTATCATCTCTCCTTATTAAATTGATTAAAAATAGTGATGTATAAGGGTCAGTCACCGGTTGGTCCGCCTGAGAAGCTCGTCCATGAGCCTGAGCCACGTGGGCGAGGACTCGGCGTCGCGGCGTATGTACGGCTTGAGCATCGCGCCCGAGTACATCGAGCGGAAGGGCGTTGGTTCCGTGCGGGACACCACCAGCGTACCGTAGTTGGTGCTGGCTATGGTACCGCATAGGTTATCTATCAAATACTGGAAAACAAGAACATTTCCCTACTTATGAAGTTCACTAAGCGAAGGTCACCTCCATATCCTTAATGCCCATATTCATGCCCATATAGTTACTGCATGGCGATTAAAATATAAAATAAATTGTCTAATAATATTAAAAGTTTGATCAACACACGATTTAAAAGAAAACTATTTGACTAGCTAATTAATATTTTTTTTAATGCAACTTAGAATGGCAAACAAGCTGATAGAAAGTGGTAACCGTCGTCTATAGACATGATCAGTACCGTGGACATAACAGAGTATACTATTGATTGCCCATGATACCTCCCACGCGTTGCCATTCCTGAGGACTTAGGTGATATTCCTCTGTACCCTGTAAATTCACTGCCACACAAACATGCCCTTCAAAGCGAAACACAGCCATGCAAACACAACTGCTTCACGGTTGAAACACGAATGGTACAGAGGTGTCCAAGCAATCGACTTTTGTACAGAGTCTCCCTCTGGTAAACAAGCGGACGGCCTGATGGAAAGTAGTTTAAATGATGTAAATAAATTGATATGTATACAGATTACAACTGCCTGTAGTGTGTTGGTGTCTAATTATCTATAAAATGCAGGTTAAACAATAAATAAATAAATAAAAGAAAAGCTACTTACTGTTTGTTGGAATCTGTCTAGAACTCTTTCCGCGTTGACAACCCTGGAATCTTCAGTGACGTAACCACCTAGTATTTTCACAGTCCTGTAATATAAATTGTGTGCAGTTAAAAATGGAGAAGGTACACTATTTGGTATAATTTGGCAAATATTCATAGTCCTTCTTTTATTTAAGAGTTTCCTCTTGTCGGTGCAACTAATTCATGCATCTTCTACCAGTCAGCTCTATCCCAGGCCATATCCTTTATCTCCCTATACGACATAACGCCTGGTGTTTCTTTTATCTGTCCCATGTAGTCATTCCTCGGTCTTTCTCTTCCTCTTTTGCCCTCTATTTTTCCATCTACTATGCTCTTAAAAAATCATCATGTCGTATAAGGTGGTCCAGCATTTTGCCTCTTCTATTCTCTATTGTTTTAATTAATGTTCTTTTCTCGTTCACTCTTTTCAGGATTTCACAGTATATTCATAGTACGTATAGAAAAATCTTGACTTATTGTTATACATATATCATTTAGGATAGTCATCATTTTTATCATCATATCAGACATTAACTGTCTACTGCTGGACATATGCCTACCCCTTATGAGGGGGGGGGGGGAAGGGATTTGTTAGCAATAGAGTTTGACAGCCCCATTGCTAGCAATATGCCCTATTAGGTCGACGTCCACGTGGTTCCCCCTGGAAACCATCGTGAACAATGCTTGTTGAATTCGTCACGATGGGCTAACTGACCTGCTTCGTCCTCACCTATCATCTTTCACTGGTACCCTGCAGGTGTATACCGATAGCGCAGACTTCAGAAAATTGTTATTTGTTGAGAAGAGCCCACAAGAAACTCAACAGTCACTCTTTTAAATCTCTGTTAACAATTATATGTATGTATTTAAATGTACTATGTCTAAAATCATATGGTTGACGGTTAAACGAAATCTCAATAGTAAAATTTTGTGTCCGACCGAAACAGGTTTTACAGCCGAAACCGAACTTTCGGCATTGGTCTCATTTACGGCCGAAACTGAAACCGAAACTTACTGAAACATATTTAAAATTTCTCTTCTATACTGAAATCTAGTGTATTTTTACACAATTATTTAAACAAACACATAGATAGTTAAAGGGTAATAATAAACACTAATTAAAGTGTGTAACAAATATGTCATATATATTTATATGTAAAAACTTGTTAAAATTATGACTTACTCTTGGAAGTAAACTTAGAAAAAAAAAAAAAACTTTCAGTTAAACACACAAATAACACAAACACACACACAAAGTTACGGCGCGGCCGAAAGTTTCGGCCAAATTTTGGCCGAAACCGAAACTAAGGCCGAAACCGAAACCGAAAGTTCGGTCGGACACTAGTAAAATTACATAAACTTACTTATCAAGATCAAAAAGTGGCAAATGCTTGTGCCTTTTCAGCCTGCGCAACGAGAGCTTCGCTTTTAACCTGTACAACTCAGCTTTCTTGTTAACATCCTTGACTTTTGGTATTAATCCTTCCACCTGCTTTAGAAGCTGCAACTCTTCATACTGTGTCATCTCCACCAGATCACTTCGAGTCTCCGGAGGTTCGTCCACCCATGGCATATCTACGGAGTTCAGCTCGGTTGAGAATAGTGATTCTCTCTTGTCATACGGTTTGTCTTCTGTGGTTTTCTTCGGTCTTATGGGTTCGGACTTTTTGATCTCGCAGTCGGATTGGACTTCGGGTTGGCAGTTCGGTGAGTGGCTGGAGTCTGAATCGTAGCCAAGCATTTGCTGGAGCGAGTGGATGCTGGATGAGTCGCTCTGTAATATTGGATCCTGTAGGAAATGACGTGTAACGTATATATTACTATTAACTTGCCTGCTACCTGTCAAAGGAAAGGCAATTTTCAAAAATAGGAAAACTAAATAAATAAACCATTTCAAAATCATCAAGATTGAGTATTAAGTCAAACATACACCAGATATTAAGTCAGTTCTTTAGGAAAACCACTGTGAATCGCATTCAATTTGGTGCTGTGGTTTTTGCTTGATTTTGGAACAAACATACATACATAAACTTGCAAACAGACTAACAGACAAAATTTCTAATAATTATTCTTTCGGTGAAATGACAATTGTCCTATGTCTATATACATATATAACGGAAAATTAATGACTTCATGCGTGTTTTCGCCATTTTCGACAATTGTTTTCACACCGAAGTTATCACAGGCTACGCGAGCTGCGGTCACAGTGCGAGGTGAGACGCTGTGACACAAAACGCTAAGCGTCCTCTGAAGAAGACTTCCGGATGAAGACAAAACAATTGACGGAAATGGCAAAAACACGCGTGAATTCATTAATTTCCCCTTACGTATGTAAGTCAAATATCACCTTTATTACTTACATGTAAAGGCACAGTTTCAACCGCCGGAGTAAAGTCGAAACCTCTGAAGATGTTTTCCACGTCGGAATGCGAGCCATCCTTGGAGACCAGTGGTAAATCATCGCTGTAGAGATCGTCGATTCTGGTAAAACTAAACAGAAAATTACATACATACATACATACATACATATATATATATATATATATGTATATATATATATATATATATATATATATCTGTCACGCCTGTCTCCCATTAGGGTAGGCAGAAACAATGGAACGCCAAATGCTTCGATTCAAACAAACAGAAAATTTTTTTGAACAAACAGAAACATTAAAAAAAATATTTATAGGGAGACTTATGTCTAGCATTTATTCGGGTTACTAAACATATCCCTAGGTCGTCACCTAGTTTGCCATTCCACTTTGCAAGTAATGTAATTTTTTTTGCACAAAATAAAAAAAAAAACAGACTTTACTCGTGTGAAAACCAGTTATTTCGATTTAAAAACTTATACTATTGAATCGATTTTGATGAAATGTCTGTGAGACCAATCTGAAAGTATATACTTTCGTATAAAAAAATAATTGGTTTATATATGATGGAGTTATGAGGTAACAAACATAAAAAAAAAATATATACAACAGAATTGAGAACTTCCTTCTTTTTTGAAGTCGCTTGATTAATGACATAAAGAATGGGATGAAATGAATGAATGAATGAATGGAACTAGTTAATAAATGGAATGGGGGAAGAATGGATGGGGGAATGAATGGAATAGGGGAAGAATGGAATGGGGGAATGAATGGAATAGGGGAATGAATGGAATGGGGGAAGAATGGAATGGGGGAATGAATGGAATGGGGGAAGAATGGAATGGGAGAAGAATGGAATGGGAGAAGAATGGAATGGGGGAATGAATGGAATGGGGGAATGAATGGAGTGGAGGAATGAAATGAATGAATGGAATGCAAGAATGAATGAATGAATAGAATGATGAATGGAATAAATGCAATTAATAAATATTCTTTTCTACTTGTTATCAGAGTCGAGCTGATCATTGTAGGACATGGACACGGAGCTTGAACCCTCTGTGTCGAGCCGTCGTTTTTTAAACGGCGCCGGCTTCACAGGCGCAGGAGTAGGTTCTTCATCATTTACTAAATGGCCATATCCTACAATTTTTAAGGAAGGCGATATACACGGTGAAGTCATTAGTGGTACATAAAACGAAGAATCTATTCATCGTCAACATCATATCAGCTGTTATCCGTCCATTGCTGGACATAGGCCTCCACCATAGACTGCTATAAGGAACAGTCCTTAATCACCTGCATCCATTGACTTCCAGCAATGCACTCCTTAGTAGTTGGGAGAGTCGTCCTGCTCTGCGTTTGCCACTCAAGAACCATTCTTCCCCATCGATTGTCAGTTCTTCGAGCTATGTGACCAGTCCATTGCCCCTTCAGCTTACTTATACTTCTCTATCTACTCTTGCTAATAAATATACTCATGCTATAAACATTTTAAGACAGAAATTTGATGAATGAAATAGAATTCTCCCATAATCTCCTAACTCAATTGCTGAATGCAAGGGAGGCACAAAAAATTTTTTGTTCTTTTTCGACCCACGTTTCTTTGGGGTCACTCCGTTAAAAGGATGGTAACCAGTAGGAGGATGGAGGAAAGGGATTGTTAGAAATTGGAATTTAATAATCTATGCCTAATTCCAGGTAAATTTGTCATGATAGATTAACTAACCGGCCTTTTCATCCTCACCATAGTAGGTAGGTTTCACCCTCATTTGTATACCAGCATATATTGCTACCGAATCATCATTCCATTATTATCCATTGAAAAAAAAATAGTAAATGTCAAATAACAATGTGATAACTTACCCATAACCAAAACTTTGTCGAGAAAAATGGTTTTGGTCAGAGCCATTTGATTCTTTGGACGTCCTTTCGGCTTGTCTTTGGCAAGTCCTTGTACTGTATGGAAATAAAGAAGTAATATTTATCAATCTACCATTTGAAGTTACTTCAAAGAGGGGATAGGTTGGATTTGTTTTCTGGTTATTAGCGTCATCATCATATCAGCCTTTGATTGTCCACTGTTGAAATTAGACCACATAATATTGTAGGGTTTTGCCAGTAGTTGTCGTGGCGGTTGGCAACCGCAGTTAGGTTTTGGTGATGTTTATGAATATTCCTCTTAATGCTGCAGACCATTTGACTTTCGGGCTTTATTATGTGATATTATCGACTATTTAAATTTTGATAACTTCTCTTGTAAATGAAAAGCTTTATTCCTGTGTTAATTCTATATTAATTTAAACAATTTGATTGTAGAACCTTCCGAGATTATCATACAATCAGATGAATCAGCATAAAAAAAAAATGTTTGACACATACAAAAGAGCATATCAATATTAGGCAGTTTTAAAAATATAATTATACTTAATTAAAAAAAAAATCCTATTGTCATTGGAATTGTTAACAACTTGAGTAGACATGGCAGTTTTATGTTTAAAAAATTAAAAAATTTTCTTCATTGAAATGCAAACATACTGATAATGCAACCAGATATGAATTAAATTTGCTAATTAGAAAATGTATTATTTTTACAACTTGTTTATATACGATTTGGACCCTCAGATAAATACATAGAATACTTAGGATCCTAATTAAAGTTAATAGAATAGAATATTATGAGAATTACCAATATGAGCTGCAACTGCTGGTGAGAAGTTATGCAGCAGTTTCCACCAGCCAGTCTCACCGAGTGCTACAGACCCAGACTGGAACAGCAGATTATTGTATATGGACAGAACACCAGCTATCGTTCCCACCCAGTTCTTCTTCTGTTTACTACAAAAAAGTACAAATGTTTTTTTAATTTTTTTATAGCAACTGAATGGCAACCAAGCTGGCAGCCCACCTGATGGAAATTGGTAATCATCACCTATAGGTGAAATGAAGAGTATCATGGATATAACAGATACATATATACTATATATAACAGAGTGTGGCGCATGATATGCAATTAAATTTTTTTATAATAATGGGCAAACGAGCATGCAGCTCAATTGATAGTATGTGATTACTGCCACCTATAGACACATTGTATATAAGAAAAATTATATAAAAAAAATTGCAGGCAGCCTTTCTCGAAGGAATATGCTCTTCTCTTGAAGGTTTCAATGTTATAAGATAAAATAATAGTAATAACATATAGAATAAATAGACTTGTTTTTAAGTAAAGTTTTTGATGGGTCTATCTTCGAACACACTGTGCAGATTGTGCGGTAAAAAATTGGAATCCATGGATCACTTGATGTGCAATTGCGATTCGTTGTCAAGTATGTGTCTACTGGGAACAGCTTATCCAGAGCCAGGGGACTACAGATATCTTAAACCGCGGTATATCATTAAGGTAACACATAGGATATATGAAATGATGGTATAAGGCAGGGGGAAGCACAAAAAGTCCCAATGGGTTGACATGCAAGGGCTTAGCTGACCCCACATGCGAAAATAAGTTTTTTATTTAATACCATCACCTATAAATTTTATTAAAATAATGAAATTTTATATGTATAATTTTATTAAGGTTATATGTTTGAATAAAAGGTTATTTTATTTTATTTGTTGTTGTTGTATCAGCTGTTACTGTCTACTGCTGAACATAGGCTTCTCCATAATTGGGAGTTTGCCAGTAATTACCACACTTGGCAGGCAAGCTGGCAACTGCAGTTTGAGTTTTGTTGATGTTTTATGGGAAACACCGATGCTCATCTCTCCTTCATAAGCTCCCTTAGTCGCCTCTTAGAACACCCACGGGAAAGGATTGGGTGGCCTATTCTATGCAGGGATATTTTATTTTATTTATTATGTGGCTATTCAATAGAAAATGGCTGTTTTCTTTTTAAATTTGTAAATTCTATGGCTAGAATGTGACATAGACGTGGACATGATAATAACTTGTATTTTTGTAAATATTTGATTTTTTTATGCAACTTAGGATGACAAACAAGTTGATGAGCCACATGATGGAAAGTGGTAATCATTGCCCATAGACATAACATTGTTTCACCCACGATACCCCCATGCGTTGCCATTCCTGAGGACTCAGGTGTTATACCTCTGCAAACTGTAAATTCTAATCGGTCGATTATTTTCTGCGTAATTAGCTCCAATTGATTTAAACAAACTTACGTGTGAGCTCCAAAAAGGAGATGCCAGTGTCTATCAATGAAGGAGCAAATGTGAATCTTGTAGTGGAAGAAACCATTGTTGCTGATCCCGTATGACTGTCTATTCAAGTGATGGAGCGTCAACAGGATCACATTTACCCTGAAATTATACATGATCATATCAGATTTTAACTGACCATTGCTGAACATAAGCCTCCATGTAGGGGGTCTTGCTAGGAGTTGCCATACTTGGCAGGCAGATTGACAAGCACAGTTATGCTTTACGAGATGTTTTAAGACAGATGCTGCTGCCCTCTCCCTTAGCCTCTTATGACAACCATGAGAAAGGAAGGCCTATTCTATGTTGGGGTCACACAGAAAGATGTATAATTATACATGTTCATTATAAATATTATCAAGTAACTTCCAAACAAATGAGTTTCTTAATTTATCTGTATTTTTTATGCATATTATAATTGTTGATAATTGTTTTTACAATCAACTTTCTTATCATGTTGATAAGAAAGTTGTTTTTTTCATGTTGATTGTTGTTTATCATGTTGATTTCATATTAATTTTGTCATTATTAAAGCTGCTATTTTCTCCAGAGTAAAATCAAGCCTTTCTTTTAAGTTTAACAATTTATTAAATGTGGCAATAAATACTTATTACATGAATTAATTAAATGTACATGTACATGTGTAATTAAGTAACAAACAAATTTTAATATAATAAAAAAAAGATAAGCAGTGTCTGTAATAATAGACTAAGAATACTGTCATCGCTAGAGATGTTGAAAAAGGTGGTTAACAGAGATAAATTACAGTAGCACAAGGCAAAATAGCTTAAAATTAAATTCCTGTAGGGAGATATGGGTTATAAATAAATATAGTAACAATATAGTACCTATAAAAATGTAAAATTATCTTGTACATAAATAAACTGAAAAGAGTAACTGTCGAGTTCGGAATGTAGCTATCTGTTGAGAAGAACTCTTCTCAAGCAAGCAGCTCTCTCTCTTGTAAGCAAGTCTATTTGAACAGAGATTATTTCTATTTTATCAATTGTACTCTCACTCTAATATTATTAGGTTCATACTAATATAATTTACCAAGGGAACTTGTTGCGGTAGAATATCTCTTTCTTTTCTGTGGAGCAGTCTTCACAAGTAAATTCAAAGAAGACATCATTTGTAAAGTCACCGGGTGTGCCCGGCCTCCGCAAACAACTCAGGTGTACGAAACACTTCTTAACTATACACTCCAGTCCAGGTTTGTCTTGCTTATTTTCGGGTGCATTACAATATTTACACAATGGTTGCATGTCTTATATGAGCTTAAATTTATTGAAAAAATTAGAAATAGAATTACGATTAAGCGAAGTGTTGTTTACAACATATACAAAAACAGAACCGCAATGACCTGCGAGTGATTGTGACAGTTTTGACGTCAGACGTCTGGTTTTGATGCATCAGTAAAGATGTAGTGCCATTCATTCCATTCAATGTCAGTTATAAACATAAATTTGGCATTCAATTCTGAATCATTTTTTGATAACCCAAAATCATATTTAATATTAGGAGATAAAACTAAAGATTGATATGAGCATTTATAAATGGGAAAACAGGACGATGTAAAAGTGGGAGATTCTATGGATTTATATTTTTCATAACTTTGTATTAAACATGGAGGTTTTTTATGTTTCCAATAAGATGAAGACGAAATAAAGATATGTAGTTGAGATAACTTTTGAATAAGCGGATGATCAGATAATTGTAAACAACGAAAAAAGAAGCGATCAGATAGATATTGCCTTCTTAAAACCAAAGGTGGATCACCGACTTCGAGCTGTAAAGCATTGATTGGACTTGATTTCATTGCTCCAGAGATAATCCTCAAGGCCTTTGATTGAATTAAATCCAATTTCTTAAAAGCAAATGAACTTCCTGGAGCTAACAAAAAAGTTCCATAATCAATGACACTCCTTATAAGACCATTATAAGCAAGTTTTAGTGAAACGGGATGTGCTCCCCACCAAACTCCAGCAAGGCACCTAAGAATGTTGAGGTTACGCTCACATTTCGTGGAAATATAATTACAGTGGGACAGACCTGTTAATTTATTATCTAGCATGATACCTAAAAATTTTATTTCAGTCTATAGGAATGTATGAGTTATCATAAAGCACCTTAATTTGTTGCGGTGATCTCATTCTTGAAAACAAAACTACACTACTCTTGGTTACAGAAAGATTAAGACCATTTGCATCTAACCACGTTTTTAACAAATCTAATGAATCAGATAATTTGGCAGAAGCAGATTCTATGGACTTCGCAATAAAATATAATAAGAGATCATCAGCATATTGTAAAATTTTGACGGATTTATCAAGGAATGATTCTAGATCGTATGTGTATATGTTGAATAAAATTGGACTGAGAACAGATCCTTGTGGAAGGCCTTTCCATACTGTTCTAGATAATTTGGTATCTTCATCTAGATCCATATGTATTGTTCTTTCTGATAAAATATTAATAATGAAATTAGAAAGCATTACCGGTACATTTAAAGCTTGTAATTTAGTTTTTAAAATAGAAATTATTACATTATCATAGGCAGCATTTATATCTAAAAAGGCTGAGAGGATTGACAAATTTTGTGAGAAAGCTATATGAATATCTGAAATAAGAATGCTCACATTATCTAAGGTGCTCTTACCTTTCCTAAAACCAAACTGGTTCGGGGATAGTAAGTTATTACTTTCTAAAAACCATTCTAGACGGTTCTTCACTAAATGTTCAGCTAGCTTTAGTAAGACAGAGGAAAGTGCAACAGGACGGTATGAAGATGGTTCAGAAGGTGGTTTATGAGGCTTTAGAAATGGTATAATAATCTGAGACTTCCATGAAGTAGGTATATTTCCCGAAATAATTATGGAATTAATTATATTTAAAAAGTAAATTAATGTCGCAGCGCTAGCATTTTTAAAAAAGGAATACGGTATACCGTCTTCTCCCGGTGCAGAGTCTTTAATACAAGCTAGAACACCTTTAAGTTCTACAAGAGTAAAAGGAGACTCAAGTTCGGATAATTCGTCAGAGACGGATAGAGAAATATTGTAAAGGCATTCCGGCACATAACTAGGAGCAAGGCGATCTAAAAATTTATTCGCTAAAGTTAAATCGAGTGCAGAACGTGATGTATGATCACTAAAGGCAGATCTGAATCTTTTAATATTATTCCAAACGACTGATGAATTAACTTCTGGACAGATAGAAGAACAAAATCTTCTCCAACCTTCCAATTTCTTTTTTTTCAGTAGTTTTCGAGTAGAACGTGAAACTGCGGTGTAAATTTCAAAATTTTCTGATGTCATGTAATTATTATAATTTTTTTCAGCCTCTTTACGATTTTTAATTGCTTCCGTACAATCTTTGTCCCACCAAGGTGGGGAGGGAATTTTCCCTGAAGCACTATTTTTAACAGGAAATAATAAATCAGCAATCGCCTTCATATTAATTATCAAGTCATTACAACATTGATGTTCATTTCCATGATAAATAATAGGTAACTCCGATATTTTATTATCTAAATATTGTTTGTAAATATTCCAGTCTACATTTGATAAATTATATTTAAGTCGAGGACCACTCTTTCGACTTGAGGGAATGGAAATTGGAAAAGAAAGAATGAGGGGAAAGTGATCGCTTCCGAAGGTAGAGGAATGAGGATACCACGACAGTGAAGAAGCTAAATCAGAAGAACATATTGAAATATCAGGAGCACTAAACCCTTCATTCGGTGCAGTTCTACGTGTCGGTACATCTGAGTTAATAATACATAAGTTGTAAGTGTCAATTATCGTCAGGAGTTTTCCACCATAAAAATTAGAAGTAGAACTGCCCCACGATTGGTGCTGAGCATTAAAATCGCCCATTACGAGAAAAGGTTTAGGTAAAATTGAAAATAATTGTTCTAGTTGTGAATATATTTGGCATGTAGGATCAGGAATATATAAAGTAACAAAACAGATACCATTTATAATTATAGCAGCTGCATTAATGCCGCTATATACAGGAAGCGAAAAAGAAGAAAAAAGAAGGGAGTTTTTGACCAATATGGCAATACCGCCATATCCGTCAGCTCTATCATCACGGAGACTTGTAAAGCCTGAAATCCTAAAAGGATATCCTGGCTTTAACCAAGTCTCTTGTAGAGCTATTATAAAAGGATTATATTTATTAATCAAATAAAATAAGTCTGATTTCTTATTTGTTATGCTACGACAGTTCCACTGAATTATTTGGACTTTGTAATCCATTGTGAGAAGTTAATAATTGAGAAAATACATTGTACATGGCATCGTTGGACGGTGGTAAAGTAGTTTGTATCATTTTTGATTGCGATAACACTTTAATAAGCATGAGAATAATATCAATGATGGATTGATTATTGTCAATATTATTTGATGATAATGCACAACCATTAGAGGGAGCAGGAATATTATATTCCTTAACTATGGCTTCATGGGCAGAACGATCATATCCTTGTTGTATTTTTTGAGGAGAGCGTGGTTTAAGTGTAACTGTTTTTTTATATGATGATTGTATATGTGGTAATGATGATTTCTCTTTAAGGAAAGAAGATTGAAAATGAGATTTATTGGAAGGAGATGATGATGTTAATACATCTGAATATAGTTTAGAAGAAGGAGGATGAAATTTTGATGCTTCAGCATAAGAAACACAACTATGGGCCATTGTTTCTTTAATGGCTTTCTGACGTGCATATTCAGGACATTTTTTACTAATTGCTGAATGAGAACCATTACACAAGATACAAGAAACATTTTCCTCATCTACTTCACATTTATCACCTGTATGATTTTGCCTGCATTTATAACACCGAGGATTTGAACGACACTGCATCTTGACATGTCCGAACCTACAGCAGTTATAGCATTGGATAGTAGGGTAAATGTACAAATCTACAGTTAATGATGTGTAAAACATAAATACTCTTTTTGGCAATATTTGTCCATCAAAAGTAATAACAATGGTTTCAGTATTAATAAAACTTGGTTGTCCTTCATTAATTGTCTTTTTCTTTATTCTTCTGGTTTTTAGAATTTTCCCACAACCTATCGGTACTGATATATTTTGGATTACTTCCTCTTCTGTCCAATCTTTAGGAATACCCCTCACAATTCCCATACGGGTTACATGGAAAGAAGGTATAAATGCCTTAAAATTATGTGTCACTAAGTTACTATTATTTAAAAATGCATTTGCATTTTCAAAATTTGAGAAAGAAAGCGATAAACGGTTTCTTCCTATTCTTTTGAGGCTACCATTCACTATATTATTTATCTTATTAGTGTGTAAAAAGCGACCAAATGCAATAGGATGTAATGTAGTGTTATCATTAGGATGTGTTTCATTTTTTTGTACATGAACAACATAAGGTGCTATATCCTCGGCATTGTACAAAGTTCTGCTTAAAGTACTGGGTGGAGAAGCAGGTTTAACAGACTCGGTATTGTTTAAAACTGGTATTGATACTTGAGTTTGATTCTCATCTTCAATACATTGACAATCACTATCTTTAATTTTAGATTCAAGACCCTTGGTGTGCCTCCTTCGTTTTTTATTGCAATGTTTGCAAATGCGACGTTCACCACGTACTCGCTTACGTTTAGAACTTGCAACGCTAGAACCATCTGTGTCCATACTAGATTCACCCAATATATCAAAACTATTATTGAATGGAATAGTTATATTTGCAGACACCTGGGGGGTTGTCCCCCCAGGGTCTATAGGTGGATCCATAATGTTAATATAGGTAATTTACTTACCAATATTTACAGCAACAAACACTATTACTACAAAATATACAATTAAATATACAATCTAATACACAATATATAAAAAAGACTAATCCTTATATAAATAAAAATAAAATTAATTTAAAGAAGATCAAAAAACACTCCCGCTTTTTTAAACGTTTCCCGCGCTTTTTCATTTTTTTTTTTTTTTTAGTACGTTTGTTCCGTTTGGAACAGGCTAAGGTCGGAGACCATGCTGCCTAGTCTTCAAAAAGATAATTTGTCTGGAATTTTATTTTTCTAATGTCGCTTCAATTATTGTCATAATCTTCAATATTTCATTTGTCAAATCCGGTAAGTACATTTTCATAAATATCTTTTCTTGAGTTTTCTTAAACCAGTGGATTTATCAAATTAAAAATAAATAATTATAAAAAATCATTGTCTTGCAATTCAATAAAAGTATTCTTATAGCTCCTTGAATGTTGTAGTAATATAAGTGAAAATAGCTTTGAAACAAGAAGGAAATCTTAAGAGAAGCGGGATTGAGTGCGGGATATTTTCGGGTTTTTTGAAGATAATCCTAAGTTCGTCAAACATAATGTGTCTTTGAATGACAAATTCAGAGCAATCAAA